TCTTAATTGGGAATGTTATGTTTTGTTATTTTACTAATATACCTTTATTTAATTTGCCCAGTTACTAATTCCAACAATAATTTACTTCTAGTTGTTGAAAATTAAATCGGGATAAACTTGGAAAGTTCTTGATAAAAATTGTTTTTCCAATAACATTAAATAAGATTTCTTAATCGTGTGAAAAATGAAACAAGTCTATGGCCCTTTTTGTTTCTGATTCTCAAATCAATTCTCATTTTCAACCACACATTCTTCAATAAAATAATATTTTCCATCACATCAATACTTTTTTCTTCTTTTTCAACGACACATTTCCTATCATATCACTATTCAAAATCAATTCTTCCCCCAAAAATTCCTACCAAACAGGCTCTATATATATGGGACGGAGGTAGTAGAATTTATAATTTAAATATAAAATATCAAAATTTTGAACTATATAAGTGACGTAATATTTAAGCTAATTATTATGCACTCACTGAACTTTAAATGAAATTTCAATTAGGTCATTAAATATAAATCACACATAAATGAGTATTTGAACTTCAATGATTTGTCAAAGTGGTAATTACATTAAACCAGAATTTTGAAGATTTAGTTTTAAAAATCAGATATAAAGTTTATTTGTATACAAAACAAAACAGATATTACTTCAAATATTTAATATTTTTAATGCCATCAAAATTCATCACAATCCCACCATCGCCGCTGCAGCGTTGCGATGATGCTACATTGCAGAGCAGCTTTCCCCTAGCCGCTACTGCAATTCGGTAGTGATGTTGGTACTACAAGTGGTTGGTGCAGGTGGATGTGCTGGCGGGGAGGGTGGATCTGGCGATGACGGTGAGGGCAGTGGTAGTAGGACACGTTGACGGAGTGATGATGGATCTGGTTGTGTGGAGGCCCTTTGGTCAGTTGCTGGTGTGGTGATGGTGTGCTGAGGTGATGGTGGCGGCAAGTGTGTGGATTTTTTTGTAGGGTGGTGGTTGGGTGTTGTGCAAATAGAGATGGTGGTGGTTGCGGTGGTGTGCTGTGGTGGATCTGTGGTGGTGGTGGTGGATCTCTAGCAGCCCATATGTTTGTGGGGTGTTGGTGGTGGTGCGGTGGTTGTGGGTGGGTAGTGGTGATGTCGGTATTTTTAGATGATTGATTGTTGTCGGGAGGTAGTGAATGGTGGTTCCGGTAACGGGGTTTTGGTTGCCATACCGTTGGTGGCAATGGTGAGGTAGTAGTCACAAGTGTTGGTGGTGGTTACATATTATTTAGTTGTTTGTGACCATTAAATTGATTAATCTGTTATCGATAAATAATATTCGATCAATGAAAAAGATAAATTGTGATAAAAAAATAATATGAGACTTGAAAAATTGTTAATTTGTGACCGGCAATTTGATAATTTGTGACTGTTTAATAAGTCGTGACATTTAATATTTGCAATTTGTGATCGATAAATAAAATGTAATGTATAAATTTTTTATTTATGACCGATGAACAAATTGCGACTTATAAATTTTTTGAATTGTGACCGTAAAATAATTTGTAATATATAAAATTTCTGTTTGTGACCGAAATATAGCCCCCGTTTGACACCCATTCTCTTTCTCATTTTTTTCTCTTTCTTCATTTCAACCACACATTCTATCAATAAAATAATATTACACATAAACCTAAAATTTTTTCTTATTTTTCAACCACACATTCTTCCCATCAATCACTATTCCAAAATTTATTCTTCACCAAAATGGGTGTCAAACACACCCATAATATGTGACTAATTAAATTGATAGATTTGTGACCGATAAATAAATTGTGACGTATAAAATTTTCGATTTGTGACCAATGAACAAATTGTGACCTATAAAATTTTTGAATTGTGATCGTAAAATTATTTGTGACATATGAAAATTGTGATTTGTGACCAATTATATGAAATTTGTTATCAAATTATATGGAATTGTGACCTTAATATTTTTCATTAATAAAATATTTAATTAATTAATTATTTTATAAATAAAATTTAAAAAACTCTGAAATTTTAAACATAAATTTTTAAATTTGAAATTGATAAAACTAAACCTCTTAGTTATGAAATTTTCCATTTTTTTCTGAACCGTTGCTCAATTTAATTTAGCCCATGTCTCTTTTAGCCCATGCCTCGTTCCCATTATTTGAATACAAGAATGAATTTTTTGATCCTTTTTTTCCAGCAGGAGTCCCATTGTGAGATAGAAAGTAAAAAAAATCAGTTGCTGTAGTTGCAACGGCTCGAAACGCTATTAAAGTAAGGCAAAAAATGGGAAATAAACATGTAGTTTCAAATTTCATCTCTCCATGACGTGAAAGTTAATAAAAATTATTTATTAATTAGTGATCATATCGTAACGAATCTTGCACCTAATCGAATATAACTTGCTAATTCATCGCTTGCTATGGTTGGTTATAAAATTGTTAAAACAAAAAATATATTTTAATGACATTATCATTTTTTAGTGCCGTATACTGATTACTACGTTAAAGATTAACTAATCTAACAGTTGATTTATTACCACTACCATGCAATTTTAAATATTGCAAGTAAGGTGGCAATTATCAGGACAAAACTTGACGCTTTGAGGATCTTTCGATCAAAAAAGAGTGGCATCAAACTTCCAGCACAAACGTACGAAAATTGATAGCTGCAACGCCGACTCATCCAACCACATCAACAAAAACAAAATAAGATTCGCTGCTCTTCACTCGATCACACCGCAGACACCTACCCACTCTGTATATACACATACTGACATGCACACTAAAATCTGCTACTTTTGAGAGTTCAATTCAGAACCAAGGGATAGATGGGGCTGCAAGGAGAAGATACAGAGCGGACTGAAAATGGTGTGGTGTCAGTAAAGCCCGAACCCAGTAAAGGGCTCACTTCCAAGGTTATAGACTGGTTGGAATGGCTGTTTGTGAAGCTTATGCACGACTCCAAACAGCCTCTCCATTATCTTTCTGGGAATTTTGCTCCAGTTGAGGAGACTCCTCCTCTTAAAGACCTTCCTGTCATTGGGCACCTCCCTGTGAGTCCAATTATGATGTTCTTAATGACTATAGGCGTATCTAATTGATCAAATTCACGGAATTCTTTTAAATGCTTTATGAATTTGTGGGGTTTTCTAGTTATATTTATCTATAAGTTTACATCTTGATGTACATATGCAACTACAAGTTTTCATTTTCTTTATTCTTTGCCCCTTTGAAATAGTATTACCATTCATTTGGCGATAGGATCAAGAAAAGAGGAACAAGAATTGGTTTTGCGTATTTCAATTGTCACACAGACGAAGAAAGTAAACCGAACCAGAGTATACAGGTTTAGTTGAGCCCATGGACTAAATGGCTACAATTGTTTTTGCATCTAATTTTTAATAGATGCATCTTGAGTGACAAATGAGTATATTTTCGGTCGAGTACAACATAACTACACAAGTCTGGCGCTAAAAAATTAAACCATGGTTCTCTGCGATTCCAACTATTTTTTAGTGGAATACTGAAAGGAAGGCAAATGAAAAATATGATATACGAACCCAATGTTTCTAGCACAAGCCTGCTTTTAACAGGATGTCATGTGGTTTACTCTGTGATTGGGTACAAAAACGAAGTGGAAAGTTTGAAAAAGGCCAGGGTAGAAAGCTTCGAGAAAAACATAGGCGGAGTTGAGCAATGCAACTCAAGAGGGCAAAATATTCAACAAACATATATCATGTGTCAAGGACACTTCACTTTGTTATATTTATCATTGTCATTCCTCTAACTTACATAATTTTACTGCTTTTGACATGATAAATCATTGAGCCTCATAAAAATGCTAAGTTCCATCATAAGTTATTCGTGCTTCAACTGCCTATAATCTAATTTTGTGAATTTTTTTTGGCTGCAGGAGTGTCTGAATGGTGAATTTGTGAGGGTTGGTCCTAACCCCAAGTTTTCTCCAATTGCAGGATTTCATTGGTAGATCCCTTCTTTCTTAAATTGTTCTCTTTAGAGTTTCGTACGGTCTTCTCTTTCTTGTATTTTGATAGGGAAAATTGTCTAATCTCATATCTGTTTTTTAATGTCTGCAGGTTCGATGGAGATGGGTGCGTACCTCTCATTCATGGTTCATCTCTTGGGATGATGCCTTTAAATTTAATTTTCTCTCTCACTGTTCCCCACCAAATAGCTTAAATGTCCTTGTGTGTGTCAAATCTTTCGACATGGAAGAACCTATTTGGCTATTTTTATGTTTTGTTATGCAATTGGGCATCCATGAAAAGGTTTCCTTTTGCATGATATTGTTTGATCTACTGCATACACAATAGACTTATATGAACTTATTAGATTCTTTAATTGTGCTGAATAAGAACCCCTTAGAAGGCCTTTATTTAAAGGAAAAGTTTTTCTGCTGAATCCAAACTGTGCTGTCTGGGAGTTAGAGCTCAAAGTGTTGTTTTCTTTTCAAGCAGAAATAAATCTGAAGAAGAGAACCAATCATAAAAACCAAGGAAAAATAATGTTGCTCGTTTCTTCAATCTTGACAGATAAATCAAATCTTTCGGGTTTTGATCTTGAATTTTGTAGAACCCAGATTATTTCAAGTTTTAATAATCATATGTTCCCAACAGTTCTACTTAACTGATCACCAAGGTCACAAATCCTTGTCAAACTTTGGCAGCATTTCACAAATCTTTCAGAGCTTACAATCATAGTTGATGAAAGTTAGCTTGACCATATGTTTGTTATTCTCACTTGTTTTTTTCTCTGAACGAAGCGACAACATCCAGTTCAATTAAGAGATGTGTTGAAATGGTTTAATCACTAGGATATCATCCTTCTAAGCCTTTATATTTATTTTAAAAATGGAAAATTACTATGTGGATCTATCTGCCATTCGTGGTGTAGGAATTTTTCTTATTTTATCCTGGTGGATAAGCCTCCTTACTGAGTATACATGGTGGCACATATATGTGCAGTTGCAGACTGACTAAACGTATTCTTACATCTAATTTATTTTATTTCCGTTTCAGCATTCAGTTTTGTTGCATCAGCATCTCATTTTATGAGGATATGACATTTGTTTGTTTGACATTCTGTTATATTTTCGGTAATGTTATATTCTGGTAGTCTCTGTTTCGCGCTTTGATATTTCAACTTAAAAAAATGGCATATTTCTGCAGAATGATTCATGGTATGCGCATAAAAGATGGAAAAGCAACATATGTCTCGCGTTATGTGAAGACATCTCGCTTTAAACAAGAAGAGGTTTTTGGCAGAGCTATGTTTATGAAGGTATTCATTGGATTAGTATAAATGCCATCATGACTTCTTTCATCTAACAACGATTCCCAAATATAACAATAAAATTTCTTCAGTTTAAGGGAACATCTTTCTATTGTTATTGTTCCCAACTTGTCTGAAGTTCCTAAACCTAACGACACAACTGCACCATGATCTTCTAATATCGAGTTGTCTATTTACTCTGAAATGTTGAAATTATTTAATAAAATCATGCTAAGAACAAGAATCACATATATCAATTGATAGTTTGAAATTCATAAATACGGAAAACATTTTTTGTGTGTGTGTGAATCTTGCCAGCTGGATCTTCCTCAAAATAATCAGCTGTCAATGAGGCAAACCAAAAACATATGGAGATGAGAGGGGACCTAGCAATTATATAGGAAATCATAAAGTCGGCCCAATACCGACTCTAATCTAATTAGAGTTTACTTAATTCTGACGCACATACTTACAATAGCCCACGTGATCACTAACATATTGGGCATAATCATAGTATCATTTCAAACCATACATCTAACCCGTAAAATTCGCAATCAAATGGAAGCCCACATAATAGAATTATTCTAGCATTCTCCAACTTGGACAGACATTTGATTGCTATAGAACAAAACTTTCAACATCCGGGTCAGACTACATAGGTGGCCACACAAGTATAGTTGCAATAATAACACCTTACACAACATGATCCGGTCCAACAAGAATGTTAACATCGAACATGAAAGTCGTTACACCAAGCAAATGATGTAAAACCACTCCATAGCTACAAATGCCAACAGCCTTATCGACATGGATCCCCATCCTCCAAACAATGTAGTAGTATGCATTACGACCTTAGCACCAAATGTGATAAAAAACTGTGCTAGTTCATATCGATCCTCAAAATGTTTCTAATCAAAATGAAGTCACATGTCTCTAAAGGAGACTCATTTTATGTCTTTAATTGTCATATCTCGAGATCAAAATAATATCATTATAAAAGACATAAGTCAAATGCATGCTCAAATAATTTATGGATAGGGGAAGATAAATTTTATTATCGAAAGGAGTTGTACCCGAAAAACATATGGGTTGCCTTATATAAATAACTTTCACTAACCAAAAACATCAAAAATTTCCACAATACCCATATAAGCAAGATGTGTCGTAAAAACATTCGGAGCGAGTCCTTTAGTCAAAAAATCTGCAATCATTGCCTCTGTGTAAATATGCTTTATTTTCGTCTGCCCTTCCTGGACTTTGTCTCTAACCACCAAAATTTGATGTCAATGTGTTTTGATCCACTAGAATTTTATTGTTTCTTGAAAAGAACACCGCTGCGCTATTATCACAATAAATAGTGATTGGCCTCGAGATGGAGTCTACAACGTTCAGCCCAGAAATAAACTTCCTTAAGCAAACGGCTTGAATTGTAGCTCCCCATAACATACTACAAATTTAGCCCGCATAGGAAGAAATGCCACTAGAATCTGCTTAACACTTTTCTACGAGATATCACCACCAGCCAACATGAAAATATAACCGGAGGTGGATTTCAAATCATCTTGATATC